GTAGTTCTGCATCCTCCAGCGCATCTATGTTATAAGTTGCAGGCTCATCAGTTAAAAAACTAAAAAGATCAGAAATAAGCCATGCCTCTAATGCAAACTGTATAATGCTTTCGGTTCCTTTATCACTTACACTATAAGCTCTCAAACTACCTTTTTCAACAAATGCTATGTATTTACAGACGTCTCCTTCCTGCAGAAGATATTGCTTTTTACGGATCTTCTTCGGCGTCAGGTAGCCTTTTATCGTATCTTCCTCTTCTTTTGTAAGGGAGACTACTTCATTAAATTTCTTAAAGTACAATTCATACATAACGGAAGTTGGATCTGGGGGTGTTTATTTCCAGGCTTTTTTTCTAAACTGCAGAACTCTTTGCATTAAATGCATCCAATACCCTCGATGAAAATATCAGGGCTGCTCCGGCATTAACAGATATTGCCACACTCATTGCTTCAATCAATTCTTCTTTCGTCACTCCCTGTTTTATTGCCGCATCCACATGAGTGATGATGCATCCATCACATTGCCTGGTAACCGCTACGGCCAATGCAATAAGTTCCCTTACTTTGCCGCCAAGCAAATCGGTATTGCTTCCGGCAGTTGACAGTTCTCGATACCCCTTTACAATTTCCCGGTTGCTCCGCCCGATCTCTGCAATCTGTTGCTGAAGCTGCTTCTGATATTCATTCCAATCAAGCATCATAGCTTTAATCTTTAATAATTGATTAACGATCAGGAAACGATTTCATCCCTCTAATTTCCTATATTCCTAAAGATACGAAATAATAGCCCAGCCACACCAAAGGCTCTTGATAAGAATCAACGCTTTTCATTATCCAAACGCAATGGATAGGACAACAAGTGTTGGTAGCTTTGCTATAACGACTGAAAATTGATTCTATAAGTAAAACAATATAACATGAACAACACTCAACTACCGAAGGGAATAGTAATAGATATCCAGACTGTCGACATGACAATCAACGAACAGTTACAACGAAAGATATTTAAGATGATTGAGCGTTTTCAAAATTATTTTACAAAAATCAGTTGGGCAGATTTTTACATGCGACAATCATCAAGGCGATCTGACTCCCCCCGTTCGATCAGTGTCAGGATCGGGATACCCGGGCCAGACATCTTTGTATCGGATAAAGGAAAAAACTGGAGATCGTTATTAAACAGTGTGGAGAAGAAAATTATCAGGCAGCTTGTGAAGCAAAAGAAAAACGTTGACCTTTCCACACACGCCAATTAACAATCATCCACAAGGTGGATCAATTCACCTGTGACTGTATCGAAAGTAAACGGCAACCTCCATATATAGTTAAGAGTTGCCCATTTATTCACCTAAAATATAAACTTATGACACCAGTATTCACAACAATATTCACATTGGCTATTGTCATCTCAGTTTCACTGGCATTGATAATTGTCCGGCAAATCCGAAAAGATCAAAAAGCAAATGAGTTGCTTTTGGATTTTTACGGCCTGGCTGCCAGTTTTGACTTTACCATATCCAAAGAAGATGTGCTGGGAAACCGAATGATCGCCTTAGATGAAACGAATAACAAATTGTTGTTCTTCACAAAAACAAGGAAAAAGCAGGATGGATACCTGGTAGACCTGGATGATATAAAATCAACGGTAGTAAATACCGAATACGGACTCAGCAATCCTTACAGCAAATACCACTCAAATTGGCAACCAAGGGTGGAGAAAATAATACTGCAATTAAAGTATAAAAATGGGGCCCGGCCTCTTGATCTTATTTTTTACGACCGGTTAAGGGATCGGTACAATGAAAGAGGACGAAGAGCATTACTGGCATTTGAGTGGGAAAAGCTGGTCGCAAAAAGATTAAAAAGAGCAAAAAGCATGACTATCAATCAATCGGGTCAACTGAGGGCCTGAAATCCTTTTCACCGTTGCATGGTTTAAATGAAGGCAAAGAAAC